GACGCTTAACCGACTGCGCCACCCAGGCGCCCCTAATATTTATCTATTTTTGAGAGAGAGTGTGAGCAGGGGTGGGTCAGAGAGGAGGGAGACAGAGGATCTTTCACTCTGTGCTGACAGCAGCAGGCCCAGTGTGGGGCTGGAACTCGTGAACCGTGAGGTCATGAGCTGAGCCGAAGTCAGATGCTCAAATGACTCTTCCACCCAGGTGCCCCTGAAAATTTCTTAAGATTTCTTTGTAGTTCATTTTGTCCTTTGGATATATATCCACTAGGGACATACAAATTACTGAATTCTTAAGTCATTTGAAGTAACTCCTTTCTGTGTTTCTAACTTATATAAGGTTAGATTCACTTGTTTAACTTTTGCTTTTAATCTTTGGAGATTGATTTGTTTTTCATTTTGTTTTATTTTATGTATTTATTTTTTTCATTTTTTTCTTTTTTTTTCATTTTTTTTCATTTTTTTTCATTTTGTTTTCATTTTGTTTTAAATTTGTTTTATAACTTTGTAAAGCATTTATACAATTCCTGTCCCAGTTATCTCTTGCAGCATAACAAACTATCGGAGAACTTGGTGGCTGGAGACAATCATTTTATCTGCTCATAATTTTGTGGGTCAGGAATTTGCAGAGGGCCCAGTTGGGTGGTTTGCCCATGATTCTGTGGGCAGCTGGAGCTGGAGGCTCTACTTCTTTTTGAATTTTTTTCAAAATTTTATTTTTAAAGTAGTCACTACACCCAATGTAGGGCTTGAACTCACAACCCCAAGATCAAAAGTTGCATGCTGTACTGTGCATGCTGTACTGACTGAGCCAGCCAGACACCCGATGGTTCTATCTTTCCTTTCCTTTCTTTCTTTCTTTCCTTCCTTCCTTCCTTCCTTCCTTCCTTCCTTCCTTCCTTCCTTTCTTTCTTTCTTTCTTTCTTTCTTTCTTTCTTTCTTTCTTTCTTTCTTTCTTTCTTTCTTTCTTTCTTCCTTCATCAACGTATTTATTTGGGAAGAGAGAGAGAGAGAGAGAGCAGTGGAGGGGCAGAGAAAGAGGGAGAGAGAGGATCCCAAGCAGGCTCCACACGTTCAGCACAGGGACTGATGCAGGGCTCTAGCTCACAAACCACGAGATGGTGACCTGAGCTGAGATCAAGATCCAGATGCTTAACTGACTAAGCCACCCAGGTGCCCCAAGGAGGTTCTACTTCTAAGTCAGCTTTTGATTCACTCACTGGTGCCTTGGTGACCTTTGACCTCTGTCTCTCTTCATGTAGTTGCCTTGTTGTTAATAGGGGGTTTTAACAGGTAGGTGTCTTGTACCCTCAGATCTAGTCTACACAAAGCTGGAGTAAGAGGAGCCCAAGCATGTTGTATTGTGCTGTTGGAAAGGAGAGGGCAGAGGGACTTAGACTATCCTGCACCTCTCAGCCCCTATCTCAGTTAACCCAGATCCCTGCCAGGACTGAGAGGGAGAAAAATCTAGTTGGCAGCCTTTGCCTTTAAATGTTGAAGCAACGTGTTAGCAAACAACATTTTCACAGAACCTTGGTGGCCACGATACCCCTCAGTATTGCTTACATTTCACTGCATGTAAGAACCACATGTGGGGCTGGTTAAACCTGAAGATCCCTGTAGAAATTCTAATGCTGTAGGTTTAGGGTGAGCGAGGCCCATGTGTCTGTGCTTCCCATTAGTTCCTGGAGGGTCTGTAGCTCTTACTCCAGACATTTCATTCACGGTTCTGAGCATGGATTTACAGAATTCAATAGGTAGAGCTTCAGCCTTAGCATTTGGTAAGGGCCTTTGAGAAGTAGCTACAGTTTGACATTTTTTATCAGAGGAAATCAAATTCAGCTTTGCTTAAGTTTCCCCCTGGTTCTCTTTTCTCACTCTACCATCAACCTTCCTTGTAAGGAAATCAGCCAGAATTCTACTAGCTCTCTAATGCAAGCTAAATATATTAAATCAACCTGTCTACTGTTCACGAGGTTGACCTGAATTAACCTGCAGGGTTTCCTTTTTAATCCTGCTTTATCCATGAATACTCCATTCATCACCAGTGGCACATTCAGGCCCAGGAGCTTAAGGAGAATCTAGTTATTTATGTGAACAGCTGTTCTCTGGCAGTAGGACTTGACCGTGGGTCCTAAAGCTCTTAGGAGGAAGTAAACCTACTCATGCCACCCTGTGGAACACGGTCACCTAGCACGGGCCCTGGCAAAAAGAGAAGCCCAAAGGCGGCCTGCAGATTTGAGAGTGGGTGAGGGGGGTGAGATCACAAGCATAGAACCCAGCAAGCACTTACTGCCACTTGACATTGTATGTAGTAATTTGTGTGTTTGCCCACTGTTTGTTTTCCCCAGTCATAGAGAGCCCATTCCCTTTTCAGATGAGGACATTGAGTCCCAGGAAGGTAATTCTCCTGAGGCCACATAGCTGGTCAGGGCATTTCCAGGCCTAGAACCCACATCTTTTGATATCCAGTCTGTTGTTAGAATGTCAAAATGTCCTCCCCACCCTCTACCCCTGTGTTATCCCACCCTTCAAGTATGCCTCATGCTTGCAACCTGTCCAGTTTAGATCTCTCGATGATCCTGGCAATCCAACCTTTCCACCTCTCACACATAAGAGTTTTCAGCAGACAGTAGGAGTTCCAGTAAACCTACAGTGATATTAGTATAACCACTAGGTGAGAATGAAGGTGGGGTGGGGGAGGGAGTGGGGAAGAGAGCACCCCAGCCAGCGGTGAGGCAAATCCTTCCTCCCAGGGGCAATGGGTAGTGCTTTCCCCACCATCCTGTCCCCAGATTACAACAGGAGCGGTGCCCTTCACCTCCGCCCTGGCCCAGGGAGTCCCAGCTCACAGGCTGTCTTCTCCATCTGTGTCACAGCCTTCAAGGCGGCAGCCCTAATCCAGAGATGGTACCGACGCTACATGGCGCGCCTGGAGATGAGGCGGCACTGCACCTGGCGCATCTTCCAGTCTATAGAGTACGCGGGACAGCAAGATCAGGTCAAGGTGCGGTGGGATGTGGGCCCCAGTCACTCGTGCTCTGCCTTCCAGCACATGGGCAGCAAGGGCCAGGTGCCCAGAGGGTGCAGCTGACCCGGACCCCTCCTGGTTCTCTTTGCGCCCATCTCTAAAGCCAAGTCTTCGACTCTTCTGCAGCTCCATGATTTCTTCAGCTACCTTGTGGATCACTTCACCCCCAGCAGCAACCATGAGAGTGAGTATGAGCTGCCATACAGGAGGGCCTCAGGGTTGTAGATATCAGACTGAGCGGGGGAGACACAGGGGGCATAGATCCCGTGATGGCCAGGGAATGAGTGAGGAGGCTGACAGATAAATGGCAGCTTCTGGGTTCACCCGGAATCACACCTGGAGACAAGAATTTGAGTGCAAGGAGTTTGTTTGTTAAATACGGGAAAACAGTCGGGCGGTGGGGAGGGACTGGGGAAGGAATTCAGGGAAGGGAAGGCAGCTTATAAAGAGGCAGAGGCAGGGGTGGGGGCTACTAAGCCAGCAACAAAAGGTGCCTGGGAAATAGTGCAGAACACTTGCCTTGGAATGATCCCACCTGAAGGCAGAGAGAACTAGAGTCTTCCTGTGTCAACTCCTGAGACTCATTAGTTGAAGGCTGCTGGGAGGGATGATAGGAAGCGTCGTTAATTCCACAGCATTTCTGGCCTGCCAAGCAGGGCCCTCTGTGGACCCAGGAAGAAAGCTCCCAGGCCAGAGATGCAGAGGCTGATGGTTGGCCCTTGCCTGAAGGACCTTGAAAGGTCTGATGGCTTCTGGCACACTGACTGACAGCACCAGAAATGCCTGTGAGCTTTTTTGTTTCACCAAGGTTTTCCCCTTTCCTTCTGCTTACAAGCCTCAGCTGCTAAATTTCTGTTCTAAGTCTGACAAATCTCAGCCTTTTAAAATTTTTTTAACATTTATTTATTTTTTGAGAGACAGAGGGAGAGAGCACGAGCAGGGGAGGGGCAGAGAGAGAGGGAGACGCAGAATCCGAAGCAGGCTCCAGGCTCTGAGCTGTCAGCACAGAGCCCGACGCGGGGCTCGAACTCACGGACTGTGAGATCATGACCTGAGCCGAAGTCAGTCGCTTAACAGACTGAGCCACCCAGGCACCCCAAATCTCGGTCTTTTAAAATAAAAGTAAAATTGGGGCACCTGGGTGGCTCAGTCAGTTAAGCATCTGACTCTTGATCTCAGCTCAGGTCTTGATCTCACAATTCATGAGTTCAAGCCCTGAATCAGGCTCTGTGCTGACAGGGTGGAGCCTGCTTAGAATTCTCTCTTTCTCTCTCTCTCTCTCTCTCTCTCAAAAAAGTATGGTCCAGAGAAAGGCTGTTTTGTATTGCCCATGGACTGCACATCTGAACATAAGCTGTCCTACCCTTTCTGTCCTAACCAGGGGACTTCCTGGACCGCATGTTCACCGAGGACAGATTCCCCCAGGACTCTGAGATGGAGAAATTCGGTGACTATGAATCTATAGAAGTCCCTGACAATTACACGGGACCACGCCTCTCCTTCCCACTCCTTCCTGACCACGCAACTGCCCTGGTGGAAGCTTTCAGACTGAAACAGGTAAGCTCACCCTGGGAAACCTGGGTCACGACCAACTTTGTGGAATATGGAGAGGGAGACCAGACCCAACACAGAAGGAATAGCCCTGGATTTAGGGTGTTAGTGTCATGGATTCACCAGAGACATTCCATGCCCCCTTTGCTTAGCCAGGACCTTGTAGTCAATAAGCCAGTTTTTATGCACTGAAAACTTCTCCTCCTCATCATGTAATATTTCTTTGTTCATTCATCTCACTGACAATTACTGAGCACTGCTATGTACAGACACTGTTCTGGGCACTGGGGATATAGCAATGAGCAAGACAGACACCATTCCTGCTCTCACAGGGCTAACATTCTAAAGGAGAGACAGACAGTAGATAATAAATAACAACAAATAAGCAGATTCTGCAGTATATTAGAAGGAGATAAGAGCTATGTAAGAGAATAAACTAAGTTCTGGGTAGGAGAGATGGCAATTTATGGAGTAGTCTTGGAAAGCACAATGGGTAAGGTGATTTCTGAGCAAAGGTTGAAGATGGTGAAGAAACGCACCATGTGGATGCCTCCAGAAAAATGTTCCAGGCAGAGGGAACAAATGGAAAGGCCAGGAGGCAGGACCTTGCCTGGATGGCTCAGGGACCTCAGGAAGGCCATTGTGGCTGGTGAGGAGGAGGTCAGGGAAGAGTGTTAGGGGATGGAGGCAGAGGGGAGGGTGGGTGGACTTTTAATCTTCTCAAAGAGATGGGGAGACATTGGGCATAGGCTTGCTTTTTAAAATAATCCTTCCGTTTTCTGAATGGAACATAGGGAGCAAGAGCTGAAGCAGGATGATCAGTTAAGGTCCTGCAACAGTCCAGGCAAAACATGAGAGTGGCTCGAAACCCTGGTGGTAGAGGCAGAGGTGGTAAGAAGTGGTCACATTCTGGTTCTCTGCCAGACTCCAGCTCTTCGTCTCTTTCATAAGAAGATAATTCACCGCAGGAGGCGTTGGGATGGTTTCCCCCAGGATGTCAGGATCACTTAGTACCATTGACATGTGTGCACTTCTTCACACCTCTCTGAGACAAGCAAGCATTTCTCCCAAGCGGAAGGCAAGGAAGGAAAGAGGAAATTAGTTCAATATTGGGGGATGTTGAAAAGTAGAAACAAGGGCAGAAGATGGGTGAAAAAGAAAGGATCCATGCATAGGGTCGCAGGGGCACTTTACCAGGGTCTTGGGGTCTTGGGTGATTGGGATCATTAGGCAGTAAAGGTGAGGCCCATTTTGCTGCATGAATATCAGTGTTGTTTTGTTCCCTCTCCCCTCTTCCTCCTAGTAGCAGCTCCATGCTCGCTATGTCTTGAATCTTTTGCATGAAACCAGGAAACACCTGATACAACTGCCAAACATCAACCGGGTCTCCACCTGTTACAGCGAGGAGATCACAGTGTGCGGTGAGAGTCAGTCAGAAATGGCTTCCCACGCTAGACACAAACAAGAAAACGCTTGTGATGGGGAAGAGGAAGGGCGGGGCTGGCGGGAGATGTGATTCTCGCTGAGAGCTTGCTTATTCGCTCCATGCTTACTGGAGTAGAGGCAGTGCAGTGAAGGATTATGGGGCAAGAGGGCCCAGACTCTGCTTTATTTCCCCAAACAATTCAGATTTGACTCCAAACTCCTGCTTTCACTCAGAACACAATCCCTGCAAATAGCCAGATCCTCCCTTGTCAAAAGACAGTTTATTTCTTGTGCCTTGAGCAGCAGGCCCTAATGCCTAGCAAATTATTCCTTCCATCCACATGTGTTCTTCTTCCAGAGAGAAATACTGTCCATGATGATTCTTTCTATATCCTTATGTTTTCGGTAAAGTTTAAACACCTGTTACAGGGGTACCTGGGTGGCTCAGTCAGTTAAGCGTCTGACTCCTGAGTTCAGCTCACGTCATGATCTCATGGTTTGTGAATTCGAGCCTTGCATCAGGCTCTGTGCTGACAGCGTGGAGCCTGCTTGGGATTGTCTCTCTCTTTCTCTCTCTGTCTCTCTCTCTCTCTCTCTGCCCCTCCCCTGCTCTCTCTCTTTCAAAATAAATTAATTAAATTTAATAAAAAAAAATAGACATCTGTTACAGACTGAGGTCCCACATCTTCACTTAGGGGGTGCAGACTGTCGCACAGCCGGGATTGTAAACTGGCACCTCGAGGGCCACGTGCAACCTGCAGCTAGGTCTTGTTTGCCCTGAAATATTCTTAAATTTTTATTTATTTTATTTTTTAATTATTTTTGAAAGTTTATTTACTTATTTTGAGAGAGAGAGAGAGAGAGAGAGAGAGAGAATTCCAAGCAGGCTCCAAGCCATCAGCACAGACCCCGACATGGGGCTCAATCTCACAAACCATGAGATCACGACCTGAGCCAAAATTAAGAGTCAGATGCTTAACCAACTGAGCCACCAAGGTGCCCCTTAAATTTTTTAAATTATTATTATTTTTTTATTAAAATCTTTTTTTAAAAATTCAAGTCAGTTAACATACAGTGTAGTCTTGGCTTCAGGAGTAGAACCCAGTGATTTATCTCTTACCTATGACACCCAGTGGTCATCCCAAAAAATGCCCTCCTTAATGCCCATCACCCATTCAGCCCATCGCCCCACCCCCCTCCAGCAACCCTCAGTTTGTTCTTTGTATTTAAGAGTCTCTTATGATTTGCCTCCCTCCCTGTTTTTATCTTATTTTTGCTTCCGTTCTCCTATGTTCATCTGTTGTGTTTCTCAAATTACACATACGATTTAAATCATATGCTATCTGTCTTACTCTGACTGACTTATTTTGCTTAGCATTATACACTCTAGTTCTATCCACATTGTTGCAAATGGCAAGATTTCATTCTTTTTCATCACCAGGTAGTATTTCATTGTATGCGTGTGTGTGCGTGTGTGTGTGTGTGTGTGTGTGTGTGTGTGTGTGTGTATACCACCTCTTCTTTATCCGTTCATCAGTCAGTAGACATTTGGGCTCTTTCCATAATTTGGCTATTGTTGATAGTGCTGCTATAAACATTGGGGTGCATGTGCCCCTTCAAAACTGTATTTTTGTATTCTTTGGATAGATGCCTAGTAGTGCAATTGCTGGCTCATAGGGTAGTTCTATTTTTAATTTTTTGAGGAACTTACATACTGTTTTCCAGAGTGGTTGCACCAGTTTGCATTCCCACCAGCAGTGCAAAGAGGGTTCCTCTTTTTCCGCATCCTCACCAACATCTGTTGTTTTCTTGAGTTGTTAATTCTAGCCATTCTGACAGAAAAAAATTAAAAAAAAATTTTTTAATGTTTTTATTTTATTTTTGAGAGAGAGAGAGAGAGAGAGAGCACATGTGTGTGCAAGCAGGGGAGGGATAGAGACAGAGAATCTGAATCTGAATCTGAAGCAGGCTCTAGGCTCTGAGCTGTTAGCACAGAGCCTGATGTGGGGCTCGAACCATGAACCATGAGATCATGACCTGAGCTGAAGTTGGATGCTTAAACGACTGAGCCACCCAGGTGCCCCAGAAAAATATTTTTTAAATAAATTTCCAACATTTGAAAATTGGAGAATTCATATTAAAATTGAGATTTCCAACACCTCTTGAAAAATCTCCTAACACTGGCCCATAAATAGCGGCTTCCTACTTCAGATGGGACAAAATCTCTTCAGTTCTCACTTGAGTTTGCATCCCTGCACTGTTCTGTCCTATTTTTGCTTCATTTACTGTTTATTTATGATAATCATGTAGAGAAAATATACTGTGTTTTCTTCTTTCAATATTAGCTATCCCTACAACAAGGGAAGTTAATATTTATTCCTGTCTTACATATGGAAAAAAGTAACCATAACTTTGTCAGATTTTTCTGGGTATTTTCCTTTTTATAGTAAAAATGAGACACAGTGGTAAGGACCAGTAAAAACTGATATTCTTTTTCTGTCTTTGTTAGGAGATTTACATGGCCAGTTGGATGACTTAATATTTATATTTCATAAGGTATGAATGTTTAAGATCCTGTCTTGCTCTGAGGCTTATTTTGGAAGTATCTATTAACAAAATGCTTAAGTATTGCTTGGATTTTTTAAATATTACTTTATCTTTTTATTTTTAAAAAATTTTCTTTTATTTTTATTTATTTTTGAGAGAGAGAGAGACAGAGTGTGAGTAGAGGAGAGGCAGAGAGAGAGGGAGATGCAGAATCTGAAGTAGGCTCCAGGCTCTGAGCTGTTAGCACAGAGCCGGATGTGGGGCTCAAACCCACGAACCATGAGATCATGACCTGAGCCGAAGTCGGATGCTTAACTGACTGAGCCACCCAGGCGCTCAAAAATATTACTTTAAGTCATTAAAAAATAATACATAGGGGGGCGCCTGGGTGGCGCAGTCGGTTAAGCGACCGACTTCAGCCAGGTCACGATCTCGCGGTCCGTGAGTTTGAGCCCCGCGTCGGGCTCTGGGCTGATGGCTCAGAGCCTGGAGCCTGTTTCCAATTCTGTGTCTCCCTCTCTCTCTGCCCCTCCCCCGTTCATGCTCTGTCTCTCTCTGTCCCAAAAAAAATAAATAAACGTTGAAAAAAAAATTAAAAAAAAAATAATAATACATAGGAGCAAATATATAATATAAAAGTCAGTACTATATTATATTTTAGTATATTTCTGTAAACTGTTTTAAAAGTCTGAGGTTAACAAAGAGAAAGAATCCTTACTTAGTGATTGATTTTTTTTCCAAATAAAGAAAATTGTTGATTATCAAAGCAACTGAAAGCTATTTTCCTATCCATTTTTAGTTATAAAATGTAGAACATGTAACAGCATACATGAATGTCCTATTAATGTAATATTACTTTACATATATACTGTGCTTCCCAAAGCATTTTCCCACTTATTGTATCCTTTAATCCTGAGGAAACTGACAGCTATTGTTATTATTACTGAAGATATTGTGGCCAGAATTTAAAACTGGCTTTTGGATCACAAGCTTGGTGTCCTTTGCACAATACCATATGGCAACACTCTGGCTTTGTATAAAGCACTTATTTTGATGAGCACGCTAGAAAGAAAATATAAGACCAATAAAAAAATACTTCCATCTTTTATTGACAATTCACATTTGGAGAAGAGCCAGAAAGCACAGAATTGGTGTTCGATCTGACATAACTGTCAAACGCCCATTGGCTTGACCTGATTTCCTATTCCCTTCCTTTGTTGCCACTTCTTGGACTTGTCTTCTTTTTGGGAAGAATGGCCTCCCGTCACCAGAGAGGGCCTACGTCTTCAATGGTGACTTCGTTGATCGAGGCAAGGATTCAGTAGAGATCCTGATGGTTCTTTTTGCCTTCATGTTGGTTTACCCAAAAGAGTTCCATCTTAATCGAGGAAACCATGAGGACCATTTGGTGAACTTACGGTAACAAACTCAAACACACTTGGGTATTTGATGTTTACTTGTGATTGAAAAGTTACTTTGTCAGAACTTCTTACTTGTTAGATACCTTTTCAAGTAGTTTTCCAATTTTTTAAAGGAATACACAATATGTAACATTAAAATATTTCTTACAAACCTACATATTATCCTACTTTTAATAAAACCATTAAACGTTTTTCCACATATCCATACTCTTTATCATATGAACGATAAAACTCACTGTAGAAAAACTAAGAAATACAGATAAACAGAAGGAAGAACGTTAAAATATCCCCTAATTTCTTGACCCAGAGTTAATGCTATAATTGTAAACATTTAGCAATTATTCCTCTTTTCTATATATTTGAGTCTCTTTTCTATATATTTGAGTATATGTATATAGTATATGAATTCTTATAAAAATTCAATTATACCATAAGTGTTGTCATTAAATTTAATATCTAGTTTTGCTTCTAAATCTAGATACGGCTTTACCAAGGAAGTGATGCATAAATATAAGGTATGCTGCCTTTAAAAGCAAAAGTTTTTCTTAGTTCAGATAAGTTAAGTGTATCACTTGAAAATTATTATCTTCTTAATATCATTTTTCAGACACATGGCAAGAAAATACTAAAAATACTGAAAGATGTTTTCTGTTGGCTTCCTCTGGCCACTCTGGTTGATGAGAAGGTCCTGATTCTTCATGGCGGAGTGTCAGACATGACCGACCTGGAACTCTTGGCTAAACTAGACAGGCACAAGGTATTGGCCAAGTAATGATATAGTGCATATTTCACCATAATTTAACCCAGTTCATAATAATAACAACCCAGTTCATAATAATTTAACCCAGTCACTGCCTACATAAAGTCAATGTCATTTTGCATGCTGACTCCAGGTGACTTAATAAGGGCTGTTAAGGAAGCCATGAGGGGCGCCTCAGTGGCTCAGTTGGTTAAGTGTCTGACTTCAGCTCTGGTCATGATCTCAAGGTTCTTGGGTTCGAGCTCTGTGCTGACAGCTCAGAGCCTGAAGCCAGCTTCAAATTCTGTTCTCCCTCTCTCTCTGCCCCTCTCCCACTTGCACTCTGTCTCTCTCTCTTTCTCTCTAAAAAATCAATAAACATTAAAAGATTAAACAAACAAACAAGGAATATACATCTGGGCTCAAGGAGCAAGTGTGCTATGATCCATTAGTGATGTTTCTATGGACATGATAGTGGGGAGTGGCAGCTAGAGCCATCTGTTTGCTATCCCTGACCTAGACAATTCTAATAAACACCCCCATTCAATGTACCTGAAGAGCCTCTACCTCTCAAATAACTCAGTTAAACTCAACAAATGTTTTAAGTGAGTACTTCATTCAGGGAGGATGCTATTGGCAGACAGAAAAATGATGATCAATTTCGAATTAAACTCAACAACTATGGTTAAAGTGCTTACTATGTGCAAAGGAAGTGGTGGGGGGGATACAAAGATAACCAGAGATGGTGCCTGCCCTAAAGAAATTTACAATAATCAGCAGGAGGAGGGAGTGAGAGACAGAATGCATTATACTCCCATATTAATACGTCTCTATTTTCTGTTTCACTTTGGAAGTAAAAATTTAGAAAACAAGAATTCTATTTTCTTTTAATCATAGACTTTTAACACTTGAATGGTGTCTTATGGCTTCTGAACTCCCAGCTGCCCTTTCCAAAACACAGGAATCCCTACTACGACATCTTTGACAACATTTGCCTAAGCAATTACTACACAAGCTAGTGTGCTCTGGGCAACTCTAATTAATATACAAGTCTTTGTGAAATGAGAACATAAATGAAAGAGCATGGCTTTGGAATCAGACAGACTGGATTTGAATCTGGGAACATGCAGCACTTGGCTGATATGGCAGCTGTGTTTTACCAGGTTATCCAAGAACCAAGCCTTCTTATGTCTTGTTATTCTGCTGTCCTTAGCGTGTCTTTCCTGAGCCCTCATCTTATAGGCCAGGATAGCCTGCCACCACATCTGTATTCCAAGCAATAGGATAGGGGGAGGAAGAGGGGAAGAATATCCCTGCCCTTTAAAGACACAGGAAAGAAGTTGTATACATCTCTTCTGCTCTCATCCCATTGTTCAGAAAGTAGTTACTTGACTACTCCTTGCTGGAAGGGAGGCTGGAAATGCAGTCTTCTGTCTGGCTGGCCACATGCCCAGCACAAAAGTTAGGGTTTCCATTCCTATGACAAAGAAGGGGAAAAGAGATGGGGGAGAATGGTAGTCTCTGACACACAGATACTGAAGTATGGAACTGTGTTCTTTTTCCCTTGAGTAGGTATGGTGAGTGGTTGGATAGGCTAGAAATGGATAAAAATTCTTTTCCTGCTACTTATAGTTATAATACCTTGAAAAAGTTATTTAACTTACTGTAACCTCAGTTTCTGAATCTATACAATAGGAGAGTGAATGATTGTATCATAGATGTTGTGAGGATTAAATGAAAATATATGTGCATGTGCCTTACAAAATTTGTACTCAATAAGTGGAAATAGTATTAACTACATTTGGCTGAAGTGACAGAAAACTTCAGACAACAATGCCTTGTGATTATTTCTTCCTTCTGTAAATAAACACTGGAAGCAAGCAGTCCAGGGCTGGTAGTAATACCACAAAGTCACTAGAGGCCCAGTGTTCTGCTCTCTTGTTGCTCTACCATGCTACATCATGGCCCAACGTGGCTACTTGAGCTCCAGCCATCACAACCATATTCTAGCAGCATAACTTAGAAAGTAGAAGAAAGGCATGTTTCTTCCCTCTAAGGACATTCAGTTGTATACAGAATTTTTGTTCATATTTCTGTTCAGAATTTTGTCATATGTTAACATCTAGTGAAAGGCAGGTTGGCAAGTGTAGTCCTCATTCTAGGTGGTATCTGTAAGAATCTGGGTTTCTATTGCTAAGGAAGAAGAGTAGACAGATGGTAGGGTAGCCACACTCTACCTTAGTCTGCCCCTGTTGCTCCCCACATTTTCATGCACACCCCGCTCATCCCCTCCCCAATGGAGTCTACACTCAGGTCTCATCCAATGATTGCATCCAGTTCAAAGCCCAAGGTTTCTGGATTCAAGTCCTATTTGTCAAGGTCTGCCTATGGCCCTTTGGGGTCTGGTGACTAAAAGATGATTTCTGTGTCCCTGCTCCCAAAAACTCAGTGTTGGAAGGGGGAAAGGATAACTCCTTGGAAGAGGTGGGGGAGGGGACGCCTGCAACGTTTTCAACAGCTTCCTCCAAAACCTTCATTATAAATCCCCTTTCTGCTTCTCCGTAATCTCAACCCTTTCGTGTTCTTTGTGGAAGAGAAGGTGCCCAAGGGACCTAAAACCAGCTCTTAGTCTGCGTGATGTTTGGCACCTTATTTTTTTTTTTTAATTCAAATATTCTGTTCTGCTGCATCTATGTCTATGTATGGAGGTAGAGACAGCAAGTCACAATAAAGCAGATGATCTCATGGGAAGAATCACATTTAATGATGTAAACAGGAGAAGTAGGAACTTTGGGGAAAGAATGCTAAAGAACAGTTTGCCTTCTGGAGCTTAGCCAAAAGCTGACTTCCCAGTAGTTTGCAAAGCTCTGGGGAGGGGTGACGTAGCCATTTGTACCAAGTCCGGGAACCACTTGGGAGGAAAACACAAAGTAGGAGCTCTGGAGTCAGATTTCTGGGTTCAGTCCTGGTAATGTTTTAGTATCTCTGCACCTCAGTTTTCTTATCTGTACTATAAATGAGGATGCTATCTCACAGGAGTGTGAGGGCTAATCGGTTAATTCACGTAAAACTAAAAATGAAGATGCAATCTCATGGTGGCGACCTGAGAGCTAATCAGTGAATTCATGATAAGTACCCAGGATAGCACCTATTTACCAAGGGCCCGATACATAGTAACACGATTATTCTCCTTAATAATCAAAGTTAGGGATGCCTCTGGGGGATAGATTAATAACTTCCTTGAAATAAAGTTATCTGGGGGTCAAAAGGGGACTGACGGTCTGGCCCTCACTATGAGTTGCAACACGATGAGAAGGAGAGGGGATTATGACTCTGTTTACATTTGGTGGCCTTTCACTCTCTATGGCCAGGGGCTGGGGCTGCCTGGGAAGTCATCCAGTGCTTGTCCAAAGTTAGAGAACACCTCTGTTCCGTTCTACTCAATCTGGATGCCTCTCGAAATATCATTCAGGTCCTGCTGACCCTCTCTGAGTGTCCTTCCCTGTTCTTGCCCCAAGAACAACTCAACATCTTTGTCTTCTCTGGACATTTTTAGATTGTTTCCACCATGAGGCACAAAACGAGAAAGGAGAACGGGAAACAGGTGAAGAAGGAGGAAGCCAACCAGAAGAGCTCCGCAGGGAGACCCACCCCGTGGTTTCTCCCCCAGAGCCGCTCTCTCCCCGCTTCGCCCCTTCGCCTGGGCTCCCTCCAGGCTCACAGAGCCGGCCGCTCGTCCAGCATTCCCTGCGGCGCCCCCCGGGACGCGAAGGAGCTAGCCCGGCAGGTGCGGCGCTCCGTGGACCTGGAGCTGGACAGGTGCCGGCAGCAAGCAGGCTTCCCGGTGAGCCGGGGGAAGGAGGAGGCCTCGCTGTGCACGCCAGAAGCGGATTCAGGAGCAGAGGAGCCGCTGGAGCCCACGCAGGAGGAGTGGAGGCAGGTGGGTTGTGACCGGGTGCTGCCCCCTGGAATGTGGCCGTCTTCCGGAGGGGCTTTTAAAAAACAGAACAAGCCTCTTCCCTCCATGTAAATTCGGGGTATTTTTTCCCATCCCCTTCACTCTCCCCCTGGGGTTAGAACACCCCCAGAAGAACATTAGTATTTGCTTAATGGCTCATATGTTTTAGAGTTTGAGAGAGCACAGGGTGATGTGGCCGATGGGCTCTATTGCCTGAGCAAATTTGGTTTAGTGACCTAGCATCGTTGGGGTAGGAAGGTAAGCCATGATTTACTGGGTGCTATTATATGATGTTTTGTGTTGCGTGTGTCAGAAAGATGGCCATTGCAGCTCAAGGCCAAAAGGGTTAGGTCAGCAACTTCTGTCTTTCTCTGTTATCAGGCAAATAAAGGCTTTTCCAAGATCTCCAGAGATGTGTCCTATGGCCACCCCTCGCTGCAAGGGACGCTGGGAAAGCACATATTTTGCTAGGCACAGTGCCACCTCAAACACCTCATCAGAGTTCTGTTAGCAAGGAAGAAGAAGGAAAACAGAGTAGGCACTCATGGTGTTTTCCTAACTATAACTCTGGCAGCCAAATGCAGGGCACATTTCACTGGGGCAAGACTGTGGCAGGGAAGCTTGTAATCCATGTGGTGAGTTTGTGTAGTAGTGTTAGTAGAATGATGTGAACTTGCTGGTGTTCGACCATTTTTGACCTATAAAAATGGCAGTTTTTTTTTTTT